TGACAAATCACCTAATGTGATTCTAGATTATGATTAGCCAAAGTTACAAGAAAAACACTTGCAGCTCTATTTTGACCGCTTAGTAATTCAATTCTTTCGTCATTATGCCATTTAATATCCGGAAAGTTGAAATCACCTGCTAGTAATATACAACTGTACGCTTTTCTATCAACAGCTTGCTTTGATGAAATAATTGTTTTATTTATATCATCTATATGGGATAAAGGTGGTCTAAAGACACAGCCAATAAGAATCATTTTGTTACCAATTTTAATTTCGCACCATATTTGCTCGGAGTTGCTGTTGTTTAAAGTCTCTGACGATCAGATACCTCATGCGCAACTAGATCACGCTTAATGTAGATAGCAATACCTCCACCATGACCTATTCTATTTTTTTTCACTAAAGAAAAGTTATTTAATTGAGTGGCAGATATTTCGGTAAACCATGATAACTCGTTCATTTTAGTTGGATTAAGAGAAGTTGCGTTAGTATAAAAACATTTTAAAAGTTTATTTTTAGGGTTAGGTTCAGCAGATTTTATTTTTGTATTTAATGCATTTAAATAATTATTCGCAGTTAAACAATTTGATTTATTGTGTTTTAGAAATTCTGGCTGCTTGTGCATCTTTCCATTTGATGAAAGGATGCTTTTTACGTCCATTGATTTCAACTTCCTGTGAGACATCAATGCATCGCAATTTATCGCTGCGGATGACAAATCTAAAGGGTTTGTCAAGTTTTCAAGATCAGAATTAGCTGCTTTTCTTTCTAAGTTTAATTTAATGAATTCGTTTTGCTCTGCTGCTGTGCGGTCAGGGCGTATAAATATATCTTTAAAAGTACCCGATGCAATTTGTTTAGCCGACGCTAGAACGTCATTTCTGATATACTGAATCAACTTCAATCATAAGAGGAGCGGGTTTACTAGAATCAAAGTTTTTTTTTTTTTTTTGAAACGTTCGATTCTAACTACATTGACTGATTTACTTAAAGATGCCATAACCTTCTTGAATTCCGTGGTGTCATTTTTGGTTATCTCGCTCGGTGAGTTTTAACAGACACTACAATTATCTTCTTTCTGTTAGTCACGTTCTTGTTATGCTTATTGAAGGCGCTCACTACAGCTACGTTTGCTAATGTACCGGGTTTGCCGACTTGTTCAACTAATTTAGATAACAAAGGCTTTTTACTATCTTTTAAGAACTTTATTTCAATATCCTGCAGATCAATTTTATTAGTAAGTTCGTCAATTCTGGCGGTAAGTGTTTTAATTACATAGAGAGCTTGTTTCAGCTCTTCTTTGGCAATTTCATCAGCGTTTTCAAGAGCATCATTAAGCTGTTTTTGCATTACCATTATTAGCAATTAACAGTGGAAGCGATTTTAAGGTTTATAGGTTATAAACGAATATAAAGTTATAAATGAATTTCAACTCGATAAATCCTCTTCGAAATAATTTATATCCGTGAAGTTCATATATTAATAAAGTATATATATATATATATATATCTTATTACACAGGAACTAAAAAGTTTATAATACGTGTTTATGTGTTTACATATAACAATTGTTTTTCCGTATATAATTATGTGTATATTATTAATAATTGTCACAATCTCACAGATACACAAGGTAGTTAGTGTTAAAAAATTCATACAAAAACAAACAACAGATTAAGAGCAAACGCGATTTTATAACAACTAGAAAGTTATAAAAGAAAAGTCTAGAATGTTGAGTTTAAAACTTAAAATATATATATATATATATATATATATATATATATATATATATATATATATATATATATATATATATATATATATATATATATATATATATATAAATAGAGTTAAAACTCGTTAAAAACTTTTTAAATATAATATAATGTAAGCGTAAATAGGATCTTCGATGAGATAATGTTTGTTTATAATATAAATTTGTATAAATATAGAAATATAAATAATAAAAAGCAGCTATATATTATATTCAGTTACTATATAGTTAATTCGGAGCGATTGACTTCGAACCGATAATATATTGTAATGTAGTAGAATAATAGGTAATGAATATTAATATGTAAATAATAAGTTTAATAAGATATATGATAGAAGAAAAAAAAAAATAAAGAAAAGAAAAGAAAAAAAGTAATAGAGAACAATTGAAAGAAGAAAAAAAAAACTTAAAACTTACGACCAAATAAAACGCGTCTTATCTTCTTCTGGAAAAAAAATAAATAAATAAAAAAATATATACAATCAACTTAGATTGAAAATAAAGAAAAAACTCTCCAAACCGTGAATACGCAAGGAAATAAATCAAAACGTAGGAAAAATAAAGAAAGGAACATTTGTAAATTTAAATTATCACATATTAAAATGGCTTTTAAATGTAAGGATTAGAAACGCGGAAAAATCAATTCTAAGTACGAACCCAGAGAACTTACTGAAAAAGTACGAACCCAGAGAACTTGCTGAAAAAGTACGAACCCAGAGAACTTGCTGAAAAAGTACGAACCCAGAGAACTTGCTGAAAAAATATATCAAAGATTTCAATCTAATTCAATTTAATGAAGATAAATTTGAGATGTGTTTTTGAATGCAATCTGAGATTTGTATAAGGGAGTAAAATGGAGTCAAAGGGAAAATAAAGCAGTAAAATCTTACTGGAACGGCAATAGCGGGAAATAAAATTCCTAAGTATAGCAAAGTGATAAATTGATTACAATAAGCAAGTAAAAAGTTTACAAAAGAGAAGAATAAAGAAGCTATTATCATAGATAACTGCCTACTACATTCGACAATTAATAAACAAAAATTTATAGAGCTCGTTTATTTACCATCGAATACCACATCTAAACTCTAACCAATGGATCATCTTACCATCGAATACCACATCTCAAATCCAACCGATGGAGCCGGATTTATTTGAAGACGGTATTATATATGTACGATAAGTAATTATTTCCATTTTCAGATAAGACCATTAAGATTTCTTGGAGATCATTAAAACCACTAAGATCATTAGGTCTTCTTGGATCACATAAATAACTAATAAGAAAAAAATAATCTATAAAACCTACTAGTTTTGAAAAAATTCAATTGTGATTTTTAAACGCTTTGCGACTCTCATTTTAGATAATATTGTAGTACGTATAAAATATTATGTGTTACATTATTTAAGGTGGTTCCCTAGAAAAATACTTTCTAGTAATAGAATAATTTTAATACAATTTATTTAAAATGAGGAGTAAATACGGATTTAAAAATATATTATTTCATTACAAAACAGGAATTTTTTAGAGCTGAGTCGACTTTTTTTTGTTTTATGAGCGAAACTTGTGACACAGTAACTTAATAACGACCAATGTATTAAATTGTATAAAATACATATATATAAAGGGAATGAGCGGTAAAAAAAATTACATTCTGTCTAAAAAACTCATGGCGGTCGACGCAAAAAAAAAAAAAAATTTTATCACCCACTTCAATATAAAATTGAAATAAATGAAATCAAACAAAATATTCGTCATTTCTTTCCACTCAGTTTCTTCGTGTATCTTTGAAGAATATTTACTGAAAATTTTAAATCATAAAGTTTAATATTTATGAATATACGATTCTTGGATTACTCGAAATTGCATAAAAATCTCGTTTTGCAAAAAAATGCAATATTTTTTTATTTATTTATTTGAGTTTTTATGCTATATTTTTCTATACAATGTTCTTATATCCAAAGATATTGTTGGCTTAGCATAGGAACAGCCACAAAGAGTCATCAAGACTAATCCAAAGTAGCTTCCGTTATTGACCAACATTTTTGCGTACCGAAGTACTACTCAAGCGCTGAGTTTGCGGTGGCGGGATTTGAACTCGTATCGTTCAACAATCCGGGTTTTAACTTTTCCTTTGACGCTCCAACTATCTGAGCTATTCCGCAATATAAAGCGTAGAAGACAAAAAAAGAATGCAATTTTTAAAACCCTAAATGTTCATCTTTATATTTCATAAGACCTATCAAATACATCATTAGAAAGAGTATAAAATGGCATTTTCAAAAATACATACTTTTGATTTTTTTTTTTGGAAATTGTGTTTTTTTTCCATAAGCAACTTTACTTGTATACGTTTTTAAATTGAAATGTTAACTTGATAATTTCAATCGCCAATTCAAGCCTCAATTCTTTATAGTAAAAAATTGAATTCTTATGCGTTGTCAACAAAGGTTCTTGGACACATTAAATCAGATCTACTTCAGTTCTACTTTTCAAGTTTTAAAGTAAATTAATAATTTTTGATTAGTATTTAATTAAGTAAATAAATAATTTAATTCAATCATTGAATATATATCGTCGGGGGTAGACGATATATAATATCTTCAATGATATTATATATCGTCGACGCGATATTATCAAATGCTGGTTACGCGAATACGCGTAACCAGCATTTGATAATATCGCGTGTATCTGCTCTACAGATAATTTATAGGTTAAAACTTTTTTTATTTTTTATTTAAGTAGATTTAGGGCTAATTTTGGCATAGAGAATTTTATTCATGTTTTTTGAAATGTCAAAAGTAGCTATTAGGTGTTAAGTTATTAATTTACATGGTCAATATTGTTTGGCTACATTAGTCAGATACGCTGTTGTAAAAAAATGAAGGAAGGGTAAAATACAGTTGAACTCATGTAGTTTGAACTCAAAAGATCATTTAAACCGTACAAATCTTTCGGTCCTTTCACCTTTTTATATTTAGAATTGAACTTCTATATTTCAAAAACTCTTGTAGTTTAAACACATTTTAAGGCCCCGAATTGATCCGAATTGACCCGAATTGCACGTGTTCAACAAATGATCCAATATACCATTAACTTTCATTTTCAAAATCCTAGTATGATTTCATTTCAATGCAGGGAATATTTACAATCAAAAAACAACTCGAAATCTTCTGTCTCAATAGGAAAAAAAGTTAATTTCAATTAATTAATAAAACTGAACGTATTACACTAATAAAATTATATTTTTAAACAACATAGCTTTAAGAGGATGAACGCTTCGCATAACAACTATAGAAAAATTACAAGAACGTATCGGAAACTTACATAAGAATGTATTATTATTACTGCATCGATGCCAACTTAACATTGCGTACATGCAAACTCTGAGGTATCACGCAAACCATCTAATTAATTGTACACAATACGCAAGTATCAATCTTCAAATTGGAACCGACAAAATTTCAACACATGGTGTTTAAGAGGGCTTAACGCTTTCTGTGTAGTTTTTTGAAGGACCAGGAAACGCCATTTCTTCGCTTAATTCACTTTCCCTATCGTTCTCTGTATCAGAACTAGATGAATCGATAATTTCATCTTTGGAAATTTCTTTTAAATTTAAAGACTCGGGTTGGTATGAAATTGTATCTTTAGATTGAATAACGCCAGGATATAGATTCGGTGATTCCACAGAGGGTTTTAAATTGTCTATGTTATTAACACTCTCAATAAATTCTTTAGTTATAGGTCGCCTTTCTATGACATAGTCATTTAACTGAGTGTGGCCTTTTCTAATATGTATTTTAATGTGATTACGTAGACGTCCCTTCCTATTAAATCCCTTTTGACAGACTGGACAAACAAATGGCTTCTCAGTGGTATGTATAAAATAATGACGTGATAAACTCGATTTTCGGCTAAAAGATTGCTGACAAACACTACACTGATGAGGTCGAGCTTCAGAATGAACAATTTCATGACGGCGTAAATGTGTACGATAAGCAAAACCTTTCCCACAAACCAAACATAAATAGGGTCTACATTTATTATGAACAGACATGTGTCGAGTAAGATGACTTTTTTTAGAGTATTTTTTGCTGCATTCTTCACACGCGTAGCTTTTTTCGTCAGGATGATAAAGTAAGTGATTAGATAAATTAGCAACATGCGAAAATTGCTTCCCACATATAAAACAAATATAAGGCGTGTCTATCGGCTCTCCATGAGTCTTAACATGATTGAGAAAAGTCACATCATTATCGAAAGTTTGAGAGCATATTTTACATTTAAACATATGTATAAGAAGATGGTTTTTATAATCATCTTCATTCTGACACTCCTTCATACATTCTGAGCACGTAAAACTTTCTTGATTTATGTTTTCAACGATGTTCATTGAGAGGGGAAATGTGCGCTCATTATGTTGTTCCATATGATAACGCAATTGTTGTTCTGAATCTGAATATATGCCACATATGTAACACTTAAAACAATCAGGCAACGGTTTAAACGGTAAGTTTGGAGTTTCCTGACTGAGATTTCCACCATATTCAGAATTTAATGACTTTTGAAGATATGGCTTTTGAGAATGCGCAAAAGTTGATTTGATCCTAGATTCCATTTTGAGCTCATTGGGTTTATGTACTTTGCTGAAATGAATAATCGAAGATCTCGAAGGATCTTTAAAATCACTTGATGAAGTAGTCCGATTACATATATGTGATTTATTTGCAGATGTATCAACTATAGCATCTTTTAATGATTCCATAAGAAAAACTTGTGATGTAGAAGGTGGTCTAGTCAAAGATCCATCTGAAATAAAAAAAAACAAATTAGTTACATACAGTCTAACATAAAACACTTCTTAGAAAATTGTTGAAAATTCTAAAAAAAAAGATTTTTATATTGCTAACCTTTTTCCGATAATCGTATCCCACTTTGTGATGAGGTTTGCTCTCTTTCTGATAATTGCATTCCACTTTGTGACGAGGTTCGTTCTCTTTCTTCGCTACATTCCTTACATTCATTTTTCTAAATATACGTGTAAATCATTTAAAGTATATAAAATTATGTTTATATTTAGAATCGACGTATCGGAATCAAAATAACGTTATTTCCAATACAGATTCCAATATTTATTCAATCAAGCCGTTTTTAATATCGGTTAAACATTAACCCTAAAGAATATTGGGATAATGAGAACTATATACACTTTTTTTTTTTACCAAAACTAATATTGTTAGAAATGTTCTGATATTACCAAGAGTCTTTTTTAGTATTTTTTTATAATACTAAAGGAAATTTTCTTCTAATTAATGTTAATTACCGAAACTTATTGACAGTTATCCTTTTGTCTTATTTTCTTTTAACAATCTAAAAGGAAATTTGTTTCAAAAGTCATAATCTTTTAAAAGTCATATTAAAACTGTTTTAAAACAAAATATATTTTCTGTTTAAATAATTTATTTTCATCGTCTTACTGATAACTAATGGTAATTTAAAGCTCTGTCGATGTTTTACTGCTATAACAAGGTATTATAAAACAATTATGAATAATATTTATTTGAAAATTTTTAAAAAGCAATCTCTGCCAACCAAAAAAACTTAGCCATGAGTGGAGATCACGCAATTGCATAGATTGTTGCACCTGGCTTTTTTACCGCTGATAATAGCTTCAAACAAAATTCTCTAATTAAGAATTTCAAGTACGCTGTCAAGAACTAAACTTGCGTTTAGCGAGTAACAATTTTATTATCTACAATAATAAAATTGTTGCAGGATAACGAAAATAAGTTATTTAAACATCGCAAAAATGTTTTGTTTCAAAAAAAGTTCATCGCAAAATTCAAATTCAAAAAAGTTCATCGCAAACATGTTTTGTTTCAAAAAAATTCCATGACTTAAAAAATTAAAAAAAAATATATATTTTTCTATTAGATTGACAATAGGTTTTTATTAGATTGACAATAGGTAATTATCATTAAAAAATATTGTACAACAGTTCTGATCTCGGTTTTTGCTGAAGTATAGCAAATTTGCAGTGGTATTGCAGCTATAGCCCACGGAATTAGGAAAAATGAGGTCAGCAATATTTTGCCGACCTTAAACTGTTAGAAGTCGGCAAAAAAAAATGATACAAAGGTTTTACCATTTAAAATAGAAACAAGATCAGCGATTTTTTGCCCACCTCAAACACTTTTAAGTCGGCAGTTACGTCGGCATTGCCAAATGCCGACCCAAATTCTAAGGGCTGCAACCAAGATTTAGATGTCACATAACAGCAATAGCAAAAAATCCTTTATCAGTCACTCGCGCTACATTAACAAAATATGATACTTGTATTAAATACATCACATTTTTATAAGTAAAATTCTTTTTAGAGATGTTAGAAAAGTTTAAATTAATCCAATCTACTTTTAAATAACACAATTAAAAACTTTACAAAGGTATTTATGGAAACTTTTTTTTTTCAAAATTAAAAATCTAATGACTAATTTTTACGTCCTCATACTGGTAACGCATTCACTAAGAAGGAGAAAATCTTTAACTTTTTCGCACAGATTACCTTCTCTATTTGGCAATTTTAGACGCTGTTTTCGAGGACTCCGTGTAAAGGGAGCTGTCAAGAGATGTACTGCTTTGACTCCCAAACATAAAAAGCGTCATTAGCATGTGATGTAACTTGAAACCTTCTATAAGATTATGACTCAGGTTGCAAAGCGGTGGAAATCACTCTCAATAGTGATCAAGTCTACGTTAAGTGATAGTGTGCTGAATATTTAGAAAACATTGATTGCAATGAAGGCAAGCTTGAGAATGTTATTTCTACTGAATAAGAATTTAACCTGATCGGCGTAGAATCCTCTTCGACTAAAATTATAAGTCAATCAATTAGCAACACAAGCCATGTGATGTTTTTATCTTAAAATGCTATTCTCATTGATAAAACCAGATCTGATTGAATTATTTCAGGAGCTTAAATCATGAAGTTTATCATGAATTTTCTTGAGCACCTGCTTGCAGAACACGGTGGTTTAACTGATAGTTAGGCATTTAGGAAACATTATTTAACTATTAGTGAAGAAGTAAGCTGTACATGCTGAGTAACAACTTAAACATTATGTATAAGCATTTAATAGGTTATACATAAATTGGTCTCATGAATATTTACAATATTATTGATTAACATGAACAATGTTCATCTGGTTGATCTGGTTAGGCATCAGAAAAAGTTAACAAAAATTGTTAACAAATGCTTATAATTGTTTATTTTTATATAATTTAATATTTTAGATGAAAAACTATAATTTAAGCTAAAAACTATTATTTTCAGATTAAGTTAATCTATACTGCATGTTTGTCTTTTTGTTTTCGTTCAAGATGATCTGACTGCATTAAGCTTACATGGTGCAAATGTAAACCCTACAGTAAAACCGCTTGGTGAAAGTAAGAGCTTTAAATGGTTTCTTGTTACTGTTTAACAGTAACAGTAAAACATATTACATGTAAAACCCTATTGGTACGTTTAAGTCAATAATGAAAACAAAACAGAATTTAATTCAAACAGAATTCAGCAGATTCAAACTATTAATCATTCAAGCATGATTAATAGTTTGAAGATTTGAATCAATTAAATTTGGATCGCAAATGTTAAAATTTATTGAGCACAGTTCAAAATTCTACAATCATGCTTTCCAGAGCTATAATAAAATTTGCAGGTATGGTGGCATGTCAACTTTTTGGTCTGAAAGATGTTGAAACTGCCAGTATTTCTGCAAGTGAAAATTAAACTCTACAAATATAGTTTAATATATATACTGATTCAGATAACTGAATCAGTAGCTCCTGGCTTCTGAAAAATGAATAAGTAGCTCCATTAAAAAAAGTAAAACAGCTGTTAACAACTATTTTTTCAAAATGACTGGCTTCAGAAACCCTATGAACACAATGTTGCTGAACACAATGGAAAATCACGAATATCAGTTTACAAAATGAAAAACTGTTACATTGCATTCCCATTTTACCTGCTTTAAGTTTGTGATTCAGATTTAGCCTACTACTATGTTCTTAATACTTTAATATGTTAACTCATTAATTTATCAGTAATTTTTAAAAAAACCCACAAAAACATAATCTAATAGACTAATACAGTTTTTTTAATTCAGAATGTTTTTATTTTTTTACTGTTTTTAATATTTAATGTATATGTTTTTATTTAAATGTGTT